GGCACCAGTAGTTTAAAAATAGCATTAACATTCATGAAAGAAACCATAAGAAAACTGTGATCATCTAAACATTTTGGCTCACAAAACTCAAATATCATTATTCCATATTCCACACATCGATACCGGTGGAGGATGCAGCTGTTCATTGCACAGTCTGACAGCAGCAGTCCCCCAGACGCTGCATGGTCCAGGGCAGATTCAGTTTAGCCAAGAGAAAGGGAGAGGAGGTGAAGAGAGAGAGGGAGAAAGGAGAGACCGTGGGCGTGCTCAGAGACGACAATCGATCAGTCTGCAGCGGCTATAGACACAGTGGAAGAATAATGGACCTTTGGCTAAAAGGAGCTAATGCACAAGCAGAGGCTGGCTCCAGGAAGTGTGGCTGCATTTAAATCCTGCTCTGAAATGTGACAAAACGGTCTCACACTCACAAGTCTGAATCTTGTTTCATTTCACAGTTCGACAAAAACAATGCTACAAGCTACAAACCCACACTCTTCACATTATTATTATTTTTTCACAGTAAAAGCAAAGCAAATGTTGACCAGTCTATTCCTCTTGTAGTGCGATGAGAGCAGATACTTAAAGACCATAATGAGCGGCTGGATAATCGGAATTAGTGGATTTTGTCTTTGAATATACAGTGTACTCGCTATAATATGGGTTCACCTTTCGCGCCCTTGCTGTTTTGCAGTTTTTTTTTTTGGAGTATTTGTTTTGGAGTATTTTGTGATTTGATGGATGCGGTGGGCGCTAGGTAACTTTGGAATACATTCATCCATCCATCCATTTTCTTCCGCTTTATCCGTTGCCGGGTCGCGGGGGCAGCAGTCTAAGCAGAGCCGCCCAGACTTCCCTATCCACACACACCTCCTCCAGCTCGTCCGGGGGGACCCCAAGGCGTTCCCAGGCCAGCTGAGAGACATAGTCTCTCCAGCGTGTCCTGGGTCTTCCCCGGGGCCTCCTCCCGGTGGGACGTGCCCGGAACACCTCCCCAGGAAGGCGTCCAGGAGGCATCCTGAACAGATGCCCGAGCCACCTCAACTGGTTCCTCTCGACGTGGAGAAGCAGCGGCTCTACTCCGAGCTCCTCCCGTGTGACTGAGCTCCTCACCCTATCTCTAAGGGAGCGCCCAGCCACTCTGCGGAGAAAGCTCATTTCGACCGCTTGTATCCGCGATCTCGTTCTTTCGGTCATTACCCAAAGCTCATGACCATAGGTGAGGGTGGGAACGAAGATTGACCGGTAAATCGAGAGCTTCGCCTTTCGGCTCAGCTCCCTCTTTACCACAACGGTCCGATACAGAGACCGCATCACTGCGCACGCTGCACCGATCCGCCTGTCAATCTCACGCTCCATTCTTCCCTCACTCGTGAACAAGACCCCGAGATACTTGAACTCCACTTGAGGAAGGACCTCTCCACCCACCTGGAGAGGGCAAGGCACCTTTTTCCGGTCGAGCACCATGGCCTCGGATTTGGAGGTGCTGATTCTCATCCCAGCCGCTTCGCACTCGGCTGCAAACCGTCCCAGTGCATGCTGCAGGTCCTGGTTCGTTGGAGCCAACAGGACGACATCATCCGCAAAAAGTAGAGATGAAATCCTGTGGTTCCCGAACCGGACCCCCTCCGGCCCTAGAAATTCTGTCCATAAATACAGTGAACAGAACCGGTGACAAAGGGCAGCCTTGGCGGAGGCCAACATGCACCGGGAACAGGTCTGACTTACTGCCGGCAATGCGAACACAGCTCTGGCTCCGGTCATACAGGGACCAGACGGCCCTCAGCAGAGGACCCCGGACCCCGTACTCCCGGAGGACCCCCCAATGGACACCCCGGGGAACACGGTCGAACGCCTTCTCCAAATCCACAAAGCACATGTGGACAGGTTGGGCGAACTCCCATGAACCCTCGAGTATCCGATGGAGAGTATAAAGCTGGTCCAGTGTTCCGCGACCGGGACGAAAACCACACTGCTCCTCCTGAATCCGAGATTCGACCATCGGACGTAGCCTCCTCTCCAGTACCTTGGAGTAGACCTTACCGGGGAGGCTGAGGAGTGTGATCCCACGATAATTGGAACACACCCTCCGGTCCCCCTTCTTGTAGAGAGGGACCACCACCCCGGTCTGCCACTCCATTGGCACCGCCCCCGATCGCCACGCGATGTTGCAGAGACGTGTCAGCCAAGACAGTCCTACAACATCCAGAGACTTTAGATAGTCAGGACGGATCTCATCCACTCCCGGCGCCTTGCCACCAAGGAGGCTGCCAACCACCTTGGTGACCTCGGCCAGGGAGATGGAAGTGTCCGCCCCAACATCCTCAGCCTCTGCCTCCTGAACGGAGGACGTGACGGGGGGATTGAGGAGAACCTCGAAGTATTCCTTCCACCGCCCGACAATATCCTCAGTCGAGGTCAGCAGCCCTCCACCCGCACCATACACGGTGTTGGCAAAGAACTGCTTCCCCCTCCTGAGGCGCCGGACGGTTTGCCAGAACCTCTTCGAGGCCGACCGATAGTCATGCTCCATGGACTCTCCGAACTCCTCCCAGTCCCGGGTTTTTGCCTCTGCAACAGCCCGGGCCGCGGCACGTTTGGCCTGCCGGTACTGGACAGCTGCCTCAGGAGTCCCACGAACCATCATTGCTCGATAGGACTCCTTCTTCAGCCTGACGGCATCCCTTACTGCCGGTGTCAACCACCGGGTTCGGGGATTGCCGCCGGGACCAGCACCAGAGACCTTGCGACCACAGCTACGAGCCGCCGCATTGGCGATAGAGGAAGAGAACATGGTCCACTCGGACTCGATGTCCCCCTCCTCCGCCGGGACCTGGGAGAAACTCTCCCGGAGGTGTGAGTTGAAAGTCCGTCTGACAGGGGGCTCAGCGAGACGTTCCCAGCAAACCCTCACTATACGCTTGGGTCTGCCAGGTCTGACCGGCTTCTTCCCCTGCCAGCGGATCCAACTCACGACCAGGTGATGATCGGTTGACAGCTCCGCCCCTCTCTTTACCCGAGTGTCCGAGACACGCGGTCGAAGGTCAGATGATACGACAACAAAGTCGATCATCGACCTCCGGCCTAGGGTGTCCTGGTGCCACGTGCACTGGTGGACACCCTTGTGCTCGAACATGGTGTTCGTGATGGACAGGCCGTGACTGGCACAGAAGTCCAACAACTGAACACCGCTCGGGTTCAGATCAGGGGGGCCGCTCTTCCCGATCACCCCTCTCCAATTGTCACTGGCATTTCCCACATGGGCGTTGAAGTCCCCCAGGAGAATAACGGAGTCCCCGGGCGGTGCACTGTCCAGTACCCCTCCCAAGGACTCCAAGAAGGCCGGGTACTCTGCACTACCGTTAGGCCCGTAGGCCGTCACAACAATGAGAGACTTGTCCCCCACCCGGAGGCGGAGGGACGCGACCCTCTCATTCACCGGGGAGAACTCCAACACGTGGCGGCTGAGATGGGGGGCAATGAGTATGGCCACCCCAGCTCGCCGCCTCTCCCCGCGGGAAACACCAGAAAAGTGGAGCGTCCAACCCCTCTCAAGGAGTTGGGTTCCAGAGCCCAAGCTGTGTGTGGAGGTGAGGCCGACTATCTCTAGTCGGTATCGCTCAACCTCCCCCACAAGCTCGGGCTCCTTCCCCCCCAGTGAGGTGACGTTCCACGTCCCAAGAGCCAGATGTTGGGTGTGCGGACTGGGTCGTCGAGGTCTCGGCCTTCGACCGCTGCCCAGTCCTCGCTGCACCACGCCACCACGGACCCCTCTGCAGGTGGTGAGCCCACAGGAGGGACTGCCCACGTCATCCCTTCGGGCTGAGCCCGGCCGGGCCCCGTGGGCTAAGGCCCGGCCACCAGGCGCTCGCTTGCGAGCCCCGACCCCAGGCCTGCCGGGCGACGTCACGGTTTTCGTTGTCGTGCTGTCCATGGTTGGCTTCGGACTGCGCTTCGTCTGACTCGTCACTTGAGACCTGTCTGCCATGGGAGGCCCTACCAGGGGCATGAAGCCCCAGACAGCATAGCTCCCAGGATCATCCGAGTGCTCAAACTCCCCCACCACGTTAAGGTGGCAGTCCAAGGGGGAGGGAATTCATTTACTTTCATTTATTTTTAATTTCATGTCTTTAATGTGGTACAAATCGTCTTTCAAACTTGCACGAAAATGGCTCATTGACAACAAGTTCCAGGTGTGGACTGTAAATTTTGCGGGCAAAGCTGAAAATATGATACGGGTAAGAAGGCCCACAAACCTGATTCAGGAGGAGTGGGCCAAACTTCCACTAGTTTCAGTTAATTTGTGGATGGCCCAAAATGTTAAAGGAGATTCTACCAAATACTTCCTGGTGATGCAAACTTCTGATCCTCTGATTATTTTGTTAGGAGATAAATCTGAAAAAATCATAATTGTGGTTCAATATGGTATTGAGAAGGTTTTTATTGGATTAAATGTGAAAAACTTAGAGGAAAAATATGTTTGCTTCAAAGTGCATGTAAGCTTATGACCTCAACTGTTTATTTGACAGGGAATATACTACGTCCTAAACCGGGCTAAAAGTAAATGCTAATTATTTAGTTAGCTCAGGGGTCTCCAACCTGTAGCTCAGGAGCTACCAGTAGCTCGCAGCCCCTTTCAGGTAGCTCCCCAAAGGATTTAGAATTTAACACATGATCTTGAATGATTCACTTTTGAGTCGATACATATCTATTATAAGTATTTATATAGGGTTGTACAATATTATGGTGTATTTTACATGTGTTTTCCATGTTTTGTCATAATTATTAGATAGATTTTTATTATGACTGCAAAAAGGAGTTGCTCTTGCCTCTTCTGTTGTATAAAAGTAGCTCTCCGATTGAAGAAGTTTGGAGACCCAGCATAATACAGAATAAGTTAATTAGGTAGCATTCTGATTTATCAAAGGAAGTACACGGCAACTCGTCACGATTTCTTTCCCATAAACATTTGACATAATTGCCTGGTCTTCCCTCCCCCACAGCGGTCCCCTTCCCCCTGGCCCACCGGCTCACCATGAAGGAGGTGTTTGACGAGGAGGGCCGGCCGCGGGTGGACCTCCTCAAAGCGCATCTGACCAAAGAGGGGCGTCTGGAGGAGGCGGTGGCGCTGCGCATCATCGACGAGGGGGCGGCCATCTTGAGACAGGAGCGCACCATGTTGGACATCGAGGCGCCGGTCACAGGTGGGATACAGACTGACCGACTATTACTACTACAGTACACAGGGCTTTTTTAAAAATCAATTTATGACTACATTTATTATTATTAGTATGTGCTTTTACCATTATATGTATCATACACCAGAGAGGGGGCTTAGTACCAGTTTATTATTATACACTTTTTCTACTGCATTTATTATTCACCAGAGAGGGAGCTTTGTACCAATTTAAACTATATACAGTGCAATAATACTTTCGGTGGGGTGCAACATTTCGGACGCCCCCGGATACATGTATAGTAGTGGCTGGATTATTAAGTGCACCTGTTTACAAAACGCACCAGCTAACTTTTAAAACAATTCGTCATTTTTGTCCACATACAGGCCGGATTGAAATACAGGCTGCCAGTTTTCATGTCACGATGTAAAGCAGGCATGTCCAAACTCAGGCCCGGGGTCCAAATGCGGCCCTCAGGGGTAGCAAGGCCCTCTGCCTTGCTACCCCTAAATAGTGTTTGAGATCATAAACACAAGTTCACTGTGTCATCCATTCAACTTCAGCTCAGCCTTGTTATAAAGCCCAGTAAAACGTTGACTTGATTTGCACACTGACGTTAATGACGCTAATGTAGCTGGTGAGAAGGTAAACATTTGTCATTCAGCCAACTTCAGCTCTGTTATAAATCATTTTAAAGCTCAAAACATCCCAATGCCAGTCAAGACAGTTTTTCAGACCGTGATGTTGGCCCCTGGACGAGTCTGGTGAACTAAAGTGGCCCTCTCACTAAAAAGTTTGGACACCCCTGATGTAAAACTAAGGAAACAGCATAGCATCGCACACTCAGCTCAGAGGTCGAAATACTAATAATATGTCGTAGATTAACCACAGTATAATTAAACCAACAGCTGTTTGAGAAAAACTGATAAACTGTTTGAACTGAATGAATGTTCATCGGCTCTCTCTGCTGTTCACATAAACATAAACAATACTGGATAGAGCTTTGTCCAAATACTTTACCACAATAAAAAGTTTCTTGGCTGATTGAAAAAAGTAATTGCTTTTGTCAATGCTGCCTTAGCTTTGGTAAAATACAGTAAAATATAAACAAAAAAGGGAGTGAGTTGATCCATATGCTCCAATTTCAGGACCACACACACACACACACACACACACACACACACACACACACACACACACACACACACACACACACACGCTCTTGGCATATCTCATGAAACCAGTCCTATTATATGTATTCATTTCTTTATTTTTTATTTAATTTATATACAAATGAACCATGTACAATTTACTATGTTCGTACGATGGCATTATAAAAACGTAGAGAATGTATATAATTGTTTCCTATAGCCAGTCTTTTGGTTCATACATGAAAACTATAGATAACTATGAGCCATATTTGACGACATTGAGAGACTTAAATCTGTATGAAATCATTGATTGGAGACTGGTCTATCTCCCGGTCCGTCTTCATGTCCCCTGGTTTACAAACCGTCTCAGATTGAAATATGAAGCTAGTGTGAAATGTAATTTGATTTTTAATAGAAACCAAGATCATTATTCTTTAAAGATTCACTCTGATCGTTTTTGCCTTTTGACAATATCTCCCCAGGGGACAACTGTTGCTCTGTGAAGACAATCCCTCACCTCACCTCAGCTTTCAATTCCCTGCTCAAATTAGAATGAATATGAAAGGACAGATTTATATTGAGAGTTCGAATGGACAGAGCGACAGGAGCTACATGTTCTCTGTAGACGGAAGCTGGACAAAGAGTGGCTCGGCGTGTGTGTGTGTGTGAATGTATATATGTATATATGTATGTATGTGCAGTGATGGGCAAGCTACTTGATTTGTGTAGTGAGCTAAGCTACAAGCTACTCTACAATAAATTCAGCTTCACTACACAGAAGCTACCACCCATACAAATGTAGCAAGCTAAGTTACAAAATTCTGTCAAAAGTAGCTTGCTATATAGAAGCTATTTTCAATTAAACAAACTGCAGTTCATGCAATTTTATATTTTCCTGCATTAACATGTTTGCTCATTTCTTATTTTTTGCACAATTCTTGAGTGTTTTATCCATGCCAAATGTGACATGTAAATGTCTCCTGTGTGAGATTAATAAAGCTTATCTTCTTATTTGAGTCAGTCAGATAAAGGTTAACATTTTGTAGATATTTATTGAACAATAGCCCAAAACACCAAAAACAACAAAGAGTAGGCATCTGAAAACATATTTCTTTTCGCTCATCTCGACTAGAGTGACGTACTTTTGGAGGTATGGCCACGGTACAACACTTTGAGAGTCCTTATCATGGTCCTCCTCCACCGCGGCGGCTCCTGGGCTCTCTGCCATGCTTTTGCTTCGCCCAGTAGCGCGCGCGCATGTGTGTGCGTGTGCGTGCGCGCGTACGTTCGTGTGTGTGTCGTTACCAAGCCCTGCGCATGCGCATCAGCATTCTGTCTTTCTATATGTTTGTTTTATGCTGCGGGAAAATGCTGTAATATGTGAACATCAGAGATGTCCGTGAGAAAATAGCTTTGGCGGACGCTACCGCGCTACTTGAGCAATAATATAGCTTAGCTACAGAAAAGTTACTAGGTTTTGTAAATAGTGACGCTACTGTCAAGCTACTGACAAATGTAGTTAAGCTAGTAGCGACGCTACTTGTAGCTACTTGTAGCGACGCTACTGCCCATCACTGTGTATGTGTGTATGTGTGTGTACATGTATGTATGTGTGTGTACATGTATGTGTGTGTGCGTGTGTGTGTGTGTTTGTGTGTGAAATTATTGGACTTGGGAGCAGCAACTTCTCATTCACTCACACACACACACTTGCGACACACACATACATACCTGCACATACACGCAAACACACACACACACACATACACAAATACACACATACAGTACATACATACATACACACACACACACACACACACACACACATACATTCATACTTACAAACACACTCACATACAGTATACACACGCACACATAAATACATACATACATGCACACCCACAGACGCATATATACTGTATATACACACACACATACAATTCTCCTGCTATACATTTCCCTTGCTTAAAGGTCCCATATGTCGCATATTTCCCACATGATGCTAACACTTTTAGTCTGCGACAATTACAGAAAAACAGCAGGGCTCGATGTGACACAGACTGTGGGAGACTCGGGAAAGAGGCTGTGAGCGCTGATTCGCTGTTTTGATTTCTCCCCTTGTCAATCACTTCCTGGAGGCGGGCTTCTCTCGCTTGTTCCGTGTCCTCGATGTGGACCGAGTCATTCTGTTGCCTCTCAAGAATGAAAGAGAAAAATTGCTCTCTGACTAAAAAACAACTTTGTTCCTGGGTATTTTAGGCAAAATAGCACTTTAATGATGTTCAAAGCATAGAAAAGTCGAATACTGTAATACGGGACCTTTAATTCAACCTCTGTGTATGGACTGCTACATACCGTTGTGTTTGAAGCATCGTTTTGGGTCATACTTTGGAGATTCCGAATTATAACACAACCATGTTTTTTCACATTGGTTGTGTGAAGTTTTCTATTTTCTAATTATAACACAATTGAGCCGATCAGTGGAGCTCTCGAACAAGCAAGGTTCATGCAAAGCTTTTTACAGCAACTGAAGGATTTTGGCCTGAGGTGTGGATAGATTTACATCAGAGAGGATAAAGAGCCCACAACACCGCACAAGCTGTCATAGATGTTAAAGAGGAAATACATGCAATAGAGAACTGGGGAATGGAGATTTACAGTTCGGGTCATTTGAGAATCTCACATTTCTTAACACATTTATTTGATATAAACGGCTTTGACAACAAATGACTCCACACAAACATCTCTAAAATAGATTTTTAGAACGACAGTAATAATTGTATGGAGAATTATTACAAAAGATTTAGCTACTACCTTTCAATGATATCAGATCGCTACCAGCTCTGGCATCAGATGGGAAGCTGGGAGACATGGTACTAACAAAATTATAGATTATTTCTTCTATCTACTATATATGATAATTGTTACTTACGTGGCAATAAAAATGATTCTGATTCTGATAATTGATTAAACCCGTGGCTCATACGCATACATTTAATACATTTGAAATCTCACACATCATTTCGAAATTAAGAAAGGTTATATCAAATGAAAATAACCCAATAACATAGAGCGAGACAGAAGGAAGTTTTAATTTTTTTCATTTAATTTTAAATTTTTTCTCCATTTATTTTTCCAGTATGGCATTGGCTGTAGAATATTTGACAAAACATCTGTATCTCTGAATTAATGCTAACCTTGGCCCTTTTTAAAATTATTATTATTATTATTATTATTACTATTATTTGTTTTGTTATTATTATATTCTATTTACAGTGTTCAAAGTATAATACAAAAATGAAATCTCAAACTTGAGCGAAAGCAGTGATAGAAATGATTGATAAACATTTCTTTCAACATGTGTTTCCGAGTCCGTAATGTCCTGATAACTATTACACCATACATAAACATAATTTTGATTGAAGTCATCTATTCACAGTTGACTAATTGTAAAACTGCCGGTGAGGACTTCGAAGTGTTCTCTCAAGTCATAATCTTACCAGCTCCGACTACACCTGTCGTTTTTATTCCCCCCATGTGGATTTCTCTTGCGTTGTACATTTGACAGCTCCGTATTCCAACAGCTGTAGAGTTTCTGCTTCACCAAACGTATCCGTACCCCTGCTTTCATTCAGACAGGCGGCACATATGGACCTTAATTACATATGTAAAAGTATGGGCACAGTGTTGCATTTACCATACAATACACGGCAAAAGATAACAACATAAAAACACGTATCGCTGGAATGTAGTGAAGGTTTTTTTATTTAATTTTATCTTGAATTGTCAGAAAGGAGATATATATTTTTGCATTTTATTACTATTGTTATTAACTTTTAGAATGATGTATTTATTGGTTTCGTATGGATGGGTGGGTCTCTGCGGCTGGACACAATTTCTATCACAGGGGATCAATAAAGTATCGATCTATCTGTGTATCTATCCATCCATCCATCTATCTCTGTATCTATCTATCTATCTTTCTATCTGTGTATCTATCTGTCTACTGTATCTATATAATGCTAAATTTACCTTGACATTACTTGCCTTGGGGTCGAAACGCTCAGTAATAACCTTACAATAGTATAGGATTTTTATATTAACTCAGAGTGCCTCCGACCTTTTCTTATTTTTTTCCACTAAATTTCCTTTTTTGAGCTTTTAACCATGTCACAGGTCTCAGTCGTTTTATAGTATGAGACAAGAATAGTATATAAAAAACACTGGGTGTACTGGGTGCAGCTCTGACTGCCACCCCCCGACCCAGAAATGGATACAATACAATATAATACAATTTATTCTTATATAGCCCTATATCACAACAGAAGTCATCTCAAAGTACTTAACAAAACCATTGAAATCACCGACACAGATCAGAGAATCAACAGTTAAGACACATAAAGAATATATAACACATGTTGATAAATGTCATACATGTTGTAGAATATTAAAGTGTCCTGGATCATCACCACATCCTTCTAGTTGGACACTAACTGCCCAACAGGGGAAGATAAGGGGAAGAAAATGGATGGATGAATTTCCCATAAATCCGTTTTGGTCATTTCTGCAGTGAAATGACGTTCTCCTCCCTCTGGTGGCTGCATTGGGAGTTACAGGACCATAGCTTTTTTTACTGTTTCACCATATATTTTTCACTGAAATTCCTATATCCCTTTCTACAATGGGAATTTAAAAACTAAATTGTCTCATTATCATTTTTATAGGGAAAAATAATGTATTTTGTTGTGTTAATGGGACGAGATATTTAGAATTATTTTAAGGGCAGTTTCAATTTATTTATCATTCAAAGTAACAAGTTAAATTTCGAGTCTATTTTTTTGTTTAAGTCAATGAAGCCATTTTAAAAATGTTCTGTCACTTTTTTGCAGTGAAATAATATTATGATGTCACGATTATGTATTTTTTGTAACTTTCTGTGCTCTTCTGTTGTGTCTTCCAGTGTGTGGGGATATCCATGGACAGTTTTTTGACCTGATGAAGCTGTTTGAAGTGGGCGGGTCTCCTGCCAACACGCGGTACTTGTTTTTGGGTGACTACGTGGACCGGGGTTACTTCAGCATCGAGGTCAGTAACAACTATTTTATGAACTACTATTTTATTTTTTCAACTTGTACGGCTACAAAGAATTAGTAAAACCTGGATAACTCTCCTGGTCCAAGTTCTTATGATTGAACAAAGAAGCATGTCAGCCTGATAGATATGAGGTTTAATTCAAGTCCATTTGGCGTACACCGGATCCTACTGAGACACGGCCAGCAGATACATTCAAGAGCGCAGGGAAGAGCTATGCATATATTAGAAATGTATGTATTTGGACTTATATAGACCAACTCATTTTGATCATTGCGATGACACTGCCCTTTAGTGAAATATTGGGCTTGTTTTTTCTTTTGGGCAGCACTGTGGAGTTTGTATATTCTTCATGTGTATTTGCACGGACACAGGCTCATTAAGCTGTTTGTCATTTGAGGACAGAAGTTGTGCTGAGAAGACACTACGCATATGAGAAAAACGGTATCTGAATGTAGCACAATTTGTCTTGGTCCTCAAGTTTCCTGCCAAAAACGTATTTGAAAGAAATATTTACTAATAATCAGACTTCTACCCTTCATTTCAAGCATATGGATATGAAAGAGACTCACAATTAAAGCTGGGTTACCTAATTACTTTTACTATCACTATTTGACGTTTCTTTCTATTCTGTCTAAAAACTATTTTAAAGCTGTTTAGCATTTCGCTTGATATTAGATAGGACACAACTTTCAATACGTATTTCTTCCAAAATTAGGAAGTCCAGTTTTATGGTCCTGAGAATGAATTAAGTTGTGATTGCATAATGTAACAGCCATCAAAGCGGCTCACAAAGATGATAATGTGAGTTTTAAAAATGTGCCCTCAACATGTTTTAACAGAATCACAGCTGTATTTGTGTAAACTAGGGCAAGCAACATGGTGTGAGACATCAAACGGCTTTTACATTAGCCACATTCGTAACAAGGCTTATTTACATTGTCTTGTTGATTGCTCCGTAGCCTCACCTTGACAGTCAGTCCGTCCTATTTCAAAATTCATACGTGATTCAACCTTGGGTCAGTCATTCGTTAAAAAAAACATATAAAAATTACAGCACATTAGCCCATGCAAAGTTCAAGACCTTGAATTGAATTTCTGACCCCATAGGTTTGTCACCGCAGTAAAATCCTTTTCCAGAGTGACGTAATGGACGGGGCAGTGGTACGAAGGCTCATTATTTAGATTTAGTGTCACTATAGAACGCAGCGGACAGAACAAGTCAAGGTCAGGCCTGATTGAAATGTAGGTTGAGTTGAAATATGTAGGAGAGCCATTGGGCATGGAGAAACAGGGGGGATATAAATGTTTGATTACAGGCCTTGGCAAAATGCTATGAGTTGGAGTCAATGGAAGATGCAGGGAATCATTGATAGCTGTAGAGACGGTGGCTTCATAGATTTGTGACTTGACTAGTTTCCTTGCTCTCAAAACAGTTGGGTTCTACCACTAGTTTTCACATACATGTATTTTTAGCCTTTGTCACATCTTTTGATCAGCTTTTTCAGTCAGAAATGTGAGGAAAAACTCTCACTCAGCCAATCAGCTCCAAGTCCAAAAGTGAGACTCACAAGGCTCTTTCTTACAACTATGCAAAAGAGAAGAAGAAGAAGTTCACACAACATTTTTACTTTTACAAAACTTTCTGTTGGGACAAAAAAAAAAAAATCATGTACCCCAACTTTTCAAGAATGGGTTTTCTTCTTTAACAAAACAGACATAGCAACAACCTAGACAAACGTTGCTGTCTTATTTGCTTATCAGCCAAGAATAAATGTGTTGACTATTGTGTGTTACTATTTTTTTGTTCAGTGCTACCTCAAAGCAGTCTCTTTCAGGATGTTTTATACACAAAATGAGATATTCTGTCTCTTGCATTTCTTATCTGCTCACATATGGTCTTGTGTTTGCCTCCTCAGTGCGTGCTCTATCTATGGGCTCTGAAAATCCTCTACCCAAAGACGCTGTTTCTCCTGAGAGGGAACCATGAATGTAGACACCTGACGGAATACTTCACTTTCAAACAAGAATGTGAGTATACTATTATTTCTTTACTTTCATATCATTCTAACACAAATTCAAAGTGATAGCATTTAGACATTCATCTGTCTATACCTGGAGTGTCCAGAATGTTTTAATGAGAGGGCCACTTTAGTTCATTAGACTTGAACTGGGGCTGAAAACCTGGATTTAAAACCTGGATTTGAGCTAGATTCACTGGATTCTGGAATTTAAAATGGGTTTTGATACGTCCTTATTGATTTACACCACAGCTGCAGTTTATTTGGAATGTTGTGACACAATCATAAAACAAATGTCAGTAAATAACAATAGATAAACGACTGGATTCAAGAGGGTCTGAGATTTATAACAAGGTTGTGATAGAAATTATGTTTATATTATCAATTAAATGAATAAGAATGTGTTTAACATTAATCTAAGGCAACTCACCATTTGGCATTATGGGCCAGGAAGGGGAAGTAACCTTTAACCCCCTGGCAAGGGCTTAACACCACAGACACCACTGAAAGGCTTTTTGGTTTTCTCCCAAATTCCAACTTGGTCCTCGCAAATCACTTCAGGCTCAGGCATGTTCTTACTGCAGAGTCCATGTCGTCCCGGGACAGCAGTGGGAAAGGTTGACATGTTGTTTGGACCCGTTTCGGTTTTTCACAACGCTGAAGGCAGGTCAAAATACATTTCAGACTTTCAAAATGAATTTCTAAAGCCACAGCACAGTGCATCCAGGACCAGAGGGAATCACATTATTACAGACTATGCAAGTATATAATCCATGTGGTCAAACATCACAACTTTATAAAGGAAAAGCAGCATGGCCAAAAGACTACCTTGCGAGGAGGTTTAAATAGTGGGTTGTTTAGACACATTCTCCTGTGCTTCATGTGTAAAAATGTGGGGAACATTTTTGTGTGTGTACAATCATCTCTGTCTGAATCACACTGGTGTAGTCTTGCACAGTTTTTCCAATGTGGTTTTACTGCAAACGGCAAATAAACTCTTGAATCTTGAATTTTAGATCAGTGAGAATGATCTGAAAACTGTTTTGGTCATGCATCAATTATGTCAATTCAATTCCAATTCAACTTAATTACAAACTCTATGTCCAATTTAATTCCTCAGTGTAAATTATAGACTTTTTTTTAAATTATGTAACGTAAGAACAATCCCGAGATGTATACGTTCGTTTGAAAGAAGTGGTTGACTAAAGCTGTTTTGCCTTAAGTGCAAAAACGCTCGGTTGATGAGGAAATCCATCCAGTCATATAAGAGCACGCATCACGCAAGTCTGCATTCAAAAGCCATCTGGAGTCACTCCTCTGGGAAGTTCCATTGTCTCCTGGTTTCCTAAGTAAGACTTGGGCGATAATGACACATCTCATTCCAAAGAAGGATCTCAACATTCTACAGAAATGAAGCAAAAACTGCACAAAAGCCTCATTAACAATTAGACTGCCTTGTTTCAAAAGTGTCTCAGCTTTGCACTTCTCAGCTCTGTCGGGATATTTGGATATGTTGGTGTCTTCTAATCAGATATGCACAATATTAAAGATAAGTGCGATGTCAAGAAATGCCGTTACAATATCAAATAATTGCCATATTTTTTTTTGGCAACACTTTAGATTAGCCCTCAGGTGTTAGCTGGTCAAAACAACAGAGACTGAAGTCGCTGTGACCTAAAAACCCGATCACTTAAATATTATGTCTTTGTGTTTGTCCAGATCTCACACTCCTCCCTTTGACTACACATCTGAATAGAATCATACACAAGAAACTTAAAAAACAAAACAAAACAGTAAAAAAACAGACACCACAAGGGTAATATCACATCACGGAATACAATTAGCAACACAAATAAGCGACTTACACTCGACCTCTTTATTGTGACCAGGTTTTTGCATTTACGAGAAGCAATAAATGCTTTGACATCGTTCCACAGCCAGATCATACACACACACACACACACAAACAGACCCATCATAGACACACACTCACACCGAAACAGACACATATAGACATACACACAGACACATCCACACACACAGAAGCAGGCGCATATATATGGACACACACAGACACACACACACGCACACACACACACACACACACACACACACACACACACACACACACACAGAGGTGACGTTCTTTCAGCAAGCGGCAAGCATCAGATTCATGCATGAAAAAACATTTGTACATAACATGATTGCACTCCGTCTGTCAGTATTGCACTTGCCATTATCGCTATGACAATATTTTTCCGACATCTTGTGCTAGGCTTTTTCCAATACTATTTTTTTTACATTCTCGCAAATGTGCTAAAATGTACATATAGTTTCATTTTATTTTTTGTTGGTCTTTGTTGCAGTATTTAGAGATTTCTTTCCACTCTGAGATGGCTTTGTCACAAATGCACAACAATTTGAACCGACCAACAATGCTTTTTGGCATTTATTTGATTTGGACACAACCGTTACTTTGGACTGACCATGCTAATTTTCAACACATCCGGGATTTTACGACAGAAAACACATTTAAAGGTGCAATTATACAATTCTCAAATATACAATTAATTCAACTGGTTTGGTGAGTCTGGTGAAGGATCTGAAGTCAGTTTGTAGTTTTAAGTTGCTGGAAAGGGCGTTCAACAGTCCGGCTCCATTAGAGGAAAGGATTGCCTCGTGTATGACCTGCGCTACACAAATAAACTTGCCTTGATCTTTACATTACACTCCCTCCTCCGTAAAACCAGGTTATGTCATTACCAAACTGCAAAGTCAAAGCTCCACTCTCCCTCTGACTCTCTGCTTCTCGTTGATTAGCAGCGCATTAATTTGGCTCGTAGTGATTGGCTCAGGGACCGGCTCTTCTGCGTCTGATTGGCCAGGGACCAGGAAGTTGATTTCCCCCGGCTCCGGTGCGAATAGTGGTCGGCCTCAATTACCATCTGCTGCGTGTGACTTTGAGGCGGTTCATAAATGTTTCAGGAGCGAGTGGAAAGAGCTGACGACGCCTGGATTAGCAGTAATGAGTAACACCAGCAGAGTAAACAAGAATACTGTACGCACTGCTTTGTTATGACCGGAATATTCAGGCATTGACCAAGAGAACGAGAGTTAAAACAGCCAAAAAAGCGTTATTCTGGCAAGTCGGAAAAAGTAAAGCTTGGGAACCTTACTTTGTTTTAGACCACAACGTAACTGTAATATAATCAAGCTAACTAGTTCCTCACTCTCCAAAAAGTGGAAAAGAAAGGGCCACGCTACCTCAGCTCTCAGCCCATAGAGTCAAATAGTGACTCACAGGGCTCTTTTGTACAAATATGCTAAATAAGAAGACAGTATGTTCTGGTCTGATTTAACCTCTTTTAAAAGGCTTTCTGTTATGAACTTATGAAGATGGATTTTTTGGAAAGGCAGCTACTTTCATGGCTTTGTAGACTGACCTCCGATGTTTTCTGTCTTTTTCTAGTAGTAATAAAATATCCACTGCAAAAATTTGAAATGTATACAGTACAGACTAAAAGTTTGCACACACCTTCTCATTCAAGACGAGTTTTTTTATTTTCATGATTATGAAATTTGTAGATTCACACTGAAGGCATCAAAACATGTGGAATGTACGTACAAAGTATAAAATTACTGAAAATATGTCTTATATTCTCGGTTCTTCAAAGTAGCACCTTTTGCTCTGATTACTGCTTCAAACACTCTTGGCATTCTCTTGATGAGCTTCAAGAGGTAGTGACCTGAAATGGCCTTCCAACAGTCTTGAAGGAGTTCCCAGAGATGCTTAGCACTTGTTTGGCCCTTTCACCTTCAGTCTGTGGTCCAGCTCACCCCAAAACCATCTGGACTGGGTTCAGGTCCGGTGACTGGAGGCCGGGTCATTTGGCCCAGCACCATCACTCTCCTTATTGGTCAAACAGCCCTTACACAGCCTGGTGTGAATCTACAGTCAATAGTCATGAACAGAAAGGAACCTCATTGAATGAGAATGTGTGTCCAAACTTTTGTCTGTACTGTATGTTTATTTATTTGAATATTGTCTTCTTTCTTATAGACAGACCTGAAGTGTGCAACACTTTAAAATATGCAAAAATAAATTATGAAATAAATGTGAGACAAAAAGGCTTCTGCATGACAACAACACCAAAGTTATCTGTTTCATTTACTGTGATTTTCGTTTGCGATTTTGAAATTGTATGCACACAAACTATGATTTTGCTCGTGATAAACTGTGCAGCCTTAACTCCAGCCTTACCGTATTACAAACCTGAAAAGTTTAGTGGGTATGGAGCGATTCATTTACATACAAAGGGTTGAAAAGCCGTCCCCAGACTTTTCTCACAGCTCCAAACACTGTATTTAAACTGAACGCTCTTCCAGATCCAAAGAGCAGACTGTAAATGATCAATGCTTGTTCACTAAGCTTCTGTCTGCACATGTATTCCAATGTGGTTTTACTGCAAATGACAAATAAAGTGAATGTGTGTGTGTGTGTGTGTGTCCAGGTAAGATCAAGTACTCAGAGCAGGTGTATGACTCGTGTATGGAGGCCTTCGACTGCCTACCGCTCGCCGCTCTCATGAACCAACAGTTCCTGTGCGTCCACGGAGGACTTTCCCCGGAAATACACACCCTCGACGACATCAAGAAGGTAAAACTGCTGGACAGACAGACATACGATTTAGTTTTTTAACATAATGAATTTCAACTAAGATAAGATCAGATTACACTTTTATTGAGCTCACAATGGAGATATTTACATGTTACATTTGGCTTCACATAGGATCACTCAGGGTGTGCAAATAGGTAAGAAATGTGTAAAAGTTAGATAGACATAAGGTATAAACGTTCTTAGGTGGCCCTGGAAACTCGGACAGGACAGTGAAAAGATTCTCACATTATTCATGTAATTTTTCATTCATTCCAATCAAAAATTGTTCAAAAAGAAGTGGCACAAGTCTTGAAATTAAAGCCGGGGCAACTAACTTTCAGACTACAGACAATCATTTATTTGTATAGTAGTACAATTTGTGTTCAAGGCAATTCAAAGGGCTTCACCAGAGAAATTTAAAAACACAAATGCATTACAGGAAAAAAAAAAAATTTATGGATAAATAAATAAAATATAAAAATAAACAATTTAATAAGTCTGCGTAGGTTTCCTCCGAGTGCTCCGGTTTTCCCCAATCACTAAAAACATGTACAGTAGTTCTGGCATGTGCCTCCTGTACTGGCGACCCCGCTCCCATCTCTGTGTGAAGTGAGAGACAAATGCCCAAAGAAAAAAAAGACAATTGTAAACCGCTTTGTGACTCTGGTCTGTGAAAGGCGGTATATAAATAAAGATTGCTTGCATACTTAATAAAATCCATCTAACTTTCCACTAATTTTAAAATGAGTTTATCCACAGTCTTAGCATACTTGGCATCTCTGTATCTGTAGCAGCTGTAGTAACCCACGACTCAAACCAATACTAGAGTAGCACAAACACCACCTCTGAACCTCTGAACATCCTGGTGCTTCACACTCCGAGCCGCGATGAAGGCGGTGACAGTCACTTCCTGGTTGGAGGCAGCGTTTCCAGGGCAACGGCGGTCACGTGACACCCGGCTCAGTTTCCGTGGAGACGCACTGGTCGGCTGACAGCTCTGTTTGTGTTCCGTTTGTACACTTACGCTTCACGAGAAAGAGAAGGGGAAAGCATTTGGTATACCACAAATTCTGCTGTTGGTCTAATACGGCTCTATAAAAGCAAGTTTATGTGTATAGCACAGTTCAGACACAAGGAACTCTAAGTGCTTACTGTATCTCATATAAACTGCCCAAAACATAGTTGCTTTTTTATTGTAGCCAGATGCCAATTTTCTTGGATTTTTTATGTTGGGATGAAGAGACTACGTAAGATTTTGCTAAAGAAATTCAAAGTCTGAATTTTTTAAATAATCATAAGAAAGTGCAGAGAAAGTGGTGGGGTAGGTGGAAGGTGAAATAGACTTTTTGACCGACAACATGCTCAAGCAGCAAAAATATATCACAATGAAATCTTAGTTTAGGTTAATAGATTAAGTTATTTTGTTCTTCTATACCAGACAAATGTAAGATATGTCAGAAGTATGCCGTCGAATCGTGTAAGAGTAACAACATTGCTATCTTGTTTTGTATAGAAGAACATAATAACATAATAAAATACTTAGGTCATAATAAGCAATCACGATTATAACAACATCTCAAGTCAATTTTACTAGTGCTTAAAGTTCAGTCATAGATGTAGGGGTGGGCAAAATATATCGTGGACAATAATATCGCGAAAGTCAATTTATGCTTTTTCGTATTATCGTCTATGTTATTTTTCAATACATATTACAATTAGAGAAGGAAAGATGCCCGTTTGTCTAATCACTGCTTTATTTGTAAATTTCAGTAAATATTGAGCCTTTTTGGATTTGGTCTTTCTGTGTTACTTGAATTAGATTTTTAATGTTAATATATGTTTGTGCATGTTTTGCAAAGATGTGGGAAGCACTTTACAAATAAAAAGCTTATATTTTGATCTACACTGTCTCTATCTATAGATGGCAACGCATTACAGATCATTTTGTGTAAAAATGATTGATTTAAAAGATATTGTGGCAAAATCGTTATCGGGAGCTGGGAAACAAATATCGAGATATTTATTTTTGTCCATATCACCCACCCATACATAGATGTAATTTGTTTTAGCCATATTTCAGAAATTATGAAGGATAACACATATACAAGATACACACACACACACTCACAAGACAAATGTACAATAATTCTATACTAAATCTCTTACTTTAGCATAAAAGAGATTCAAGTATAACATCTCTGCATAATAAAGAAGCTAGTTTAAAATCTCCAACTTTAAGTAAGTAGTAGTAAGTAATCTTTATTTATATACCGCCTTTTCACTGCAGATCTGAGTCTCAAAGCGGTTTACAATTGTTAATTTTTGGGCATTTGTCTCTCACTCCACACAGAGATGGGAGCGGGGTCGCCAGTACAGGAGGCGCATGCTAGAACTATTGGACATATTTTTAGTGGTAGGGGAAACCGGAGCACCCGGAGGAAACCTACGCAGACACGGGGAGAACATGCAAACTCCACTCAGAAAGGCCCTGGTCCGACCGGGATTCGAACCCAGGACCTTCTTGCTGAGAGGCGAGAGTGCTATCCACTCTGCCACCGTTTTTAGCATAATAACGAAGCAAAAGAAGAACTAAGAATAAAATCTCTGAGGCATGCCTCAGAGTGAAAGAAAAATGCAAGAAATTTCAAATGGAAAAAGTACAAAAAACAAACTGGTTTCTGGTTAAGACTCACGAGTGAATTGTTGTTTCTTAGTTGGACCGGTTTAAGGAGCCCCCGGCCTTCGGACCCATGTGCGACCTGCTGTGGGCCGACCCTCTGGAAGACTTTGGGAACGAGAAAACTCAGGAGTATTTTGGGCACAACACGGTCCGAGGCTGCTCATACTTCTACAGGTACTTCTACAATTCTTCAAAGTAGATAAAGTTAGATGTTAGAGAAAGAAATGTATTGATCACAACCTTTGAAGCCTGAATCCCGGTCTTTCTTTATTCAAGTATATTTCAGAATGACATGGTTCTGAGCTGAGTTACAAAGTGTTTACGGGAAAACAGGTCGTCAGCAGCTTTGATGGGAATTGGGGGCAGTATTCCAATCAAATACTGAATACAGAGAGATTTGCCCCACAGTGTTTGCAGACTGCGGAATAAGCTGATTTGAACTTAAGCTAGCTGATTCATTGTATGTATTCCACCTCCAAGCCTTTCTGTGTGGAGTTTGCATGTTCTCACCATGTTTGCATAGGTTTTCCCCTGGTAATCCGGTTTCCCATCTCTGTAAGGAGTGGGAGACAGATGCCCACTAGTGTAAACCGCTTTGTGACTCTGGTCTGTGAAAGGCCCTCGATAAATATAATTACTCACTTACTTATCAAACACATGACTATAAACATGCCAGATTTTAGCCAAAAGCTAATTTCCATCTGTGGTCCCATGGGGTTAGGATCACATTCATATTTCAGCAAGAGTCAACAAAGTCTGCGTCCACATCATTGCACATACCCCATTATTGCACACATCCAGTGATTGCACACATTCCGGGATTACAATCAACCAATATTATATGACTTTGATCGTACGCGCGCTCTGATTGGTTGATTTGCGGTCTGATATTTTCCCATCTCGAAGTGTTACCATGACAATTTGTTCCGCAGCGCGTATCAAATTTGATATCTTTCCTTAATAAAAAAACAATGAGCGACGACTTCGAAGAGCCAGAGGAAGTAATAACAGCAAATAACGACAAAAACACAACTCCTAACAGATTGACAACTTTGTTACAGACCAGAAAGGTAAAAACACGGTACATGTATTTACATGTATTTCTCTGTACAGACCTCGCGCTCGTTTAATAAGCCGTTAATATTGTACATGACCCGATATATGGGCATTTGTTCTGACACATGTTGCTAAGACAGTTGCTGATTGGCAATCTGATTGGTTAAGCCTTATATGGCTCTTATCTGGATTTAGAAAGACAATATTAAAACACACACACACCAGGATCATAGAATTCACTAAACTATGTTCTAAGCCCATATGGTGAGTGTGAAAACTCCGCCCACTCTGCTCACTTTCACAAATGCAAAAGTCCACTTGACGACATTGTTGTGTTGTGAGTTAAAGCTGGGATACCTGATTTCAAACTGCAAAAAGAAGAAGTGGATTATTTTTTAAATCACTCAAACTCACTCCTGCTGACACTGTAGAATGTTACTGGTGTCAGCGCAGTGTGAGAACAGATTTTACAGATACAAAAATCCAGTCAGCTCTGAGTCCAATAGTGACTTACATGGTTTTTCCTTACAAGTTTACACATAGTGCAATATTCAATGAAAGACTATTGACAACGTCTCTCAGTGTTATGTGATTACAAGACGTTTTCTGGAGGGGAAAAAACAGAATTCTTGAGTTAGAAAGTTACTACAGCTTTGCCTAAGATCACGAATGCACCAGAGACCACACTTTTTCGGTGCTTTTGTTTTGTTCTATTCTCCATTGTGGGATCAATAAAGTTTATCTTATCTTATCTTTAACAATGGTATTTATCAGAAAGTGAATCAGAATCCTCAATTGGACCAACACTGGACCATGGGAACAGCAAATGCACTCCAACGACATTATTCTAACTAATAATTAACTAAAATCAAGTGTTGATCCGGACTAAAAGCCTTCATTTACCTGTCATTGTTCAAATGGAAGAATTAAACCACAAATACCTTGAATCTGCCAAAATCTGGGCCACTTTTGAGGCCAGTGTGAACGTGACTAAAAATAGAGTCATGTTTGAACAGAACTGCTTCATGTCACTTGTCAAAAGCGAATCACACAACGCTTTGAAAACGCTTCATTGTTTGGTTCATTTTGATGTGTTTCCTTCAGTTCTAACTGCCACACAGCTTTCTGTACTGTACAAACAGAACAGTAGCCAATCTTTGAACAGGTTTAAGCTAGGAGTAACTAGGACAGAATGGGGCTGTGAAAAAAACATCGATATTTGCTAGTTATTGTGATATATTGTCTCACCAACACGCTAATTTCAAATATAGATATGTTATTTAACCTGTTTGTGAGCGGGAGTCAAAGCCCAATCAAGTCTCGCAAATTAGTATGAGCTTCCATGGCATGTTATACATCATTTTAAAGATAATTCTCCCTGATAATTTTTTCCCACTAGGTTTTATTTTTGAGTTGTTTCTTGCTGATGCAGGAAGGTCGAAGGAATTTTAAGGACATTTATGGACATTTTTTAACTTTCATGGAGCTTGGTCGTCCTGCCCCCTATGGACCCATGCTTTCTATGTGTTTGTTATTATGGCATTTCCTGTGTTCGCAAAGAGAGACAGGTTGGATTCTCTGGTCTGTTGTAGAGGAATCGACAACTTTGCAAAGTTCTCTGGGACGACTGCTGTTGTGATTTAGGGCTACTCAAAAAACTATTGAAATTAATTGAATTGAAGAGTTTTGACTTTGACACTGTAAAATCAAAAGTAGTAAATATTTGATGTGTTTTTTTGTTTCCAGTGAATTTAATTTTATGTGAGAATTTTCCTGTCTCTTAAAGGAATAGTTCACCGTTTTTACATACTGACATATGTTCTTACCTTACCTTAGACTAGTTAATATGTACCTGTCTGGTCTTAGTCCGTGCGCTCTGTCATGCAAACGGAGCAAAAACGGGAGCACGAACGCAGCCTCCTCTGTATATTGTATAGTACCCAAAAGGTAGCTCCCGCTAGAAGCTACCAAACTCTTCCAAGTGTTCCCTATTAAATGTATATAGTTACGTTAACTTCTCTCCAGAGACTTCTCTCTCGCTCACTTCCGTCAATAGAAGCAGCGTGACTTGTAGTACGGAGAGAAGTTAGTGCGCGGACGTAGCGCTCCTCAGATTACTACGCCTCACAATATAGTACCCGTTTTATCCGCTGAGAAAATCGACAGTTACATTTCTGTGTTACTATACTTTGCAGTGTAACACGTCACGTAACTATATACATTTAATAGGGAACACTTGGAAGAGTTTGGTAGCTTCTAGCGGGAGCTACCTTTTGGGTACTATACAGTATACAGAGGAGGCTGCGTTTGTGCTCCCGTTTTTGCTCCGTTTGCATGACAGAGCGCACGGACTAAGACCAGACAGGTACATATTAACTAGTCTAAGGTAAGGTAAGAACATATGTCAGTATGTAAAAACGGTGAACTATTCCTTTAACAAACAAGTATTTTTGTCATAATATTTCGCCCCGTTGACAAATCTGTTTTAAAGAAAAAATGTACTTATTAATTCAAGCATTTTTTTGGTCCTTTTTTTTTGTAATGCAGCTGCTGTTTGTTGCATGTTGCAGTTCATTATCAATATCTTCTCAGAATAATCATTGCTTATGGATGAATTATCGCGTCACTTTTGATCAAGTTTGACAAACAGTAACGTCTAAATATACTGTACATCAATTTTCCCCTTTACCTTCTATCTTATACGAAGCCCCATGAGGTCCACTGACGCAGAGACGGCTTTGCTTCCTCTGTGTAGAAGTGAGGCAGTAGTTTTCACACAACACACCACAGCACAGCGCACTTTGAGCATAAAACGATTTCCCACAATCCCCCTGGGACCGCCGGGACTGCTGTTGCCATGACTACTCTGCCAGTGATATGAAGTGATTTGAAGAATACAGTGAAAACCGCAAATTTCATAACAGTATTGATAAGATAGAGAGAGTTGTGTGGTACTATGGGGAAGAAGGGGAGAGTTAAGATGCACTGGCCGCATATGGATTTGTTTAACATGGTGTCCACTGCTGTGTGTTAACGAAATACTCTTTTAGCAGCAGCTGTATGAGCATCATCAATTCAGTGCTTTTACGCCACCTACTGGACACTGTTGCTAATGTAGTACAGTAGACTGAGAACCAAGCATTTACTTACACACAGCTGTTTATGACTGTTTGTCGAGATGATTCCCACTAGTGCAGTCATGCCTTGATTGTTTTTTCTCATTCCAAGGGAGACATTTTGGTGTTATTTCTTGTATCTTTTTAAAACCAAATAATATAAATATAAATAGCTTTACTGCCTTGCTCATTGTCCCATTTGCCAATGGGACAATGAGCAAGGCAGTAAAGCAGTCTGAATGTGTTCAGATGTGTAAGACATTAAGAAAATTTGAGCAATATTTTACTTATTCTCCTCACTTTTTGCAGTGTACCCACTTTTCTGAAATTTCCCCACGGTGGGGCAAATAAAGGATCTCTTAATCTTAATCTTTTCACCCTACAGTTGCATTTTTACCTCTCACCATTCTCTTCACTGAACCTTGCCACCCTCAGTTTTCCTTCTGCACTCACAAACATCACTTCTACTACTCAAAGCTAGACCTTTTTTAATGTTGTCAAAAAAAACTTCGTTTTTTCCCCCAACAGAAAGAGTCTTGTAAAAGTCAAATGTTGTGAACAAAACATGTCAGAAAGAGCCCCGTGAGTCACAAGTTGACGGTTTGAGCTGACAGCTGATTGGTTGAGTGAGATTGTTCCTCTGTTTTTTTTTCCTGTCTGAAAGATCGGATCTAAAGATGTGACAGAGGCTGAATATGAGGGAGCCAAAGTAGTTACTTTGACTTTTTTTTATTTCATTCTGTTGTGGTTTAAAAGTTAGGTACCCCGGCTTTAACAGTTTGCAATTGTGGTGTGACACGTCCACAGAGTCCCAGTTGACAGTAAAGATGGAGGATGGTGATTTTGGCACTTTCACACTTCTGTCACTTTCACACTTGAGTCTGTGCTTTGCTGGCGACGAATGGGAATCTTTGATATTTAACTGAATGAATAAATCTATATGAGTCATGTCTCTTTTTCTCAGAGTTTGTTATCATTATTATTATTATTATTATTATTATAAAACATTACAAAACCATTTAAGGAGAGACTCTCTGTGAGCAGTAGTAGTAGCAGTAGTAGTAGTAGCAGTAGTAGTAGCAGTAGTAGTAGTAGTAGCAGTAGTAGTAGTAGCAGTAGTAGTAGTAGTAGTATAGTAGCAGTAGTAGTAGTAGTAGCAGTAGCAGCAGTAGCAGTAGTAGTAGCAGTAGTAGCAGCAGCAGTAGTAGTAGTAGCAGTAGTAGTAGTAGTATAGTAGCAGTAGTAGTAGCAGCAGTAGCAGTAGTAGTAGCAGTAGTAGCAGCAGCAGTAGTAGTAGTAGCAGTAGTAGTAGTAGCAATAGTAGCAGTAGCAGTAGTAGTAGCAGTTGTAGCAGTAGCAGTAGTAGCAGCAGTAGTAGCAGTAGCAGTAGCAGTAGTAGTAGCGTTATCTGTCTCTTAACAGTCTCTCTCTCTGCAGTTATCCGGCCGTGTGTGAATTTCTTCAAACCAACAACCTCCTGTCGATCATCAGAGCTCACGAGGCTCAGGACGCAGGGTAAATATTACTCTTTTGTATTTTATATTTCACATTTTACTTGTGTTGATGTTTTAATCCAAACCTCTATGTCCTGTTTAGTCACATTTAGTTAAAAACACTAAGATATTTGTATTTGGGCTGCACTGTTTTGGAGATTTTCAATATGTGCTTTAAGAGTTGGGGTCTGTTTAAATTCATTTCCATAATATTAAGATATTATGTATTGAAATCCATGTTGTTGCAAGGTTCAGGTTCAAGTAACACACAACACACACACACACACGTACACAACATACTGTATGTAATTTTGGTTCATTATTAAATACAAAAAACACACAAAATATATTAATATCATTATGTGACTGTATTCAGATTTCAATTTGAATATACACATTGTTGTTGGTAAAGGATTAAAATAGTAATAAGAATCTTACTATTGGGTGGCTTCGAATCACGGTCGGAACAGGGTCTCTCTGAGTGGAGTTTGCATGTTCTCCCCGTGTCTGCGTAGGTTTCCTTCGGGTGCTCCGGTTTCCCCTACCACTAAAAACATGTACAATAGTTCTGGCATGCGCCTCCTCGACTGGTGACCCCGCTCCCATCTCTGTGTGGAGTGGGAGACAAATGCCCAAAAATAACAATTGTAAACCGCTTTGTGACTCTGGTCTGTGAAAGGCGCTATATAAATAACAATAACTTACTTACTATTGGTGCTGCCCAGCTTATTTAAAAGTTCACACCATGCTTGAAAAATACTACTTTAACTACTTATTAATGGCTTTTCCCGCATGCTGCTGATGTGTCCCTCCTCAGATACCGTATGTACAGGAAGAGTCAGACGACAGGTTTCCCGTCCCTCATCACAATCTTCTCTGCTCCCAACTATCTAGACGTCTACAACAACAAAGGTAAAGAAAAATCCTGAGAAAAAAATACCTCCTTTTCATTTCCCTTTGTGGTTTTACATTTTACTCAAGCCATATTTGTAAAGTCTTAAAAAACAAACTTGGTCCTACAGTCTGCTTATAGACTTAAATTATGAAAAGGTCAAGTATTATTATTAGAAAGAAGAGTTGTTGCACGTGTTGTTGCAGGTGTAGCAGCGATACTACTGATAAAATGCTGATAATTGACTTTCATATTTATAAATCCTAATGAATAAATGTGTTCTTCCTTTGTGGATACCGTGAGATAAATCCATGGCTGTAATTTTCAGAACTTTTAATTCACAAATGTTAAGTTTTTCCTCACAAATAACCACAGGACTCATGTATTAGTAAAAGCAGAAGCAATAGTAGAGGTAGTAGCAGGAGTATTAGTAGTGCTGGTATTATTATTAGTAGTGGTAGCAATAGTAGCAGAAGCAGTAGTATTAGTACTAGCGTTAGTAGTAGCATTAGTAGTAGTGGCAGTAGTAGTAGTAGTAATAGTAGTAGTAGTATTTTCACACTGACAAAATCTATGAATTTTGGTCAGAATTCCGAAGCAGCCTGTTCCTTTAAAGACAGCATAATTTCAGTTGTCCTTCAGTGTAAACAAACCAAAGCTGCTCTTTCCTTTGTCAAGTTTTCCTCGTAAAAAACCCTCAACATTTCTATCAATGTTTCTATTGCTCCACATGGATGAAAAACTTGCCGTAGTTCATTATAATGTCATTTCCCCTGGTCCTGGAGTCTCGCTCGGCGACTGCAGAAGACTCCTTCTGATACTCTGACGTTTGCTTTGTCTCTTTGTTTGGACTCACTTCTGTTTTCCCACGTTGTGAAATGCCGACACGGGTCCAAACAACTCACCAATCCTTCACACAATGTCGACACGTTGTTTGGTCCAGGTCTGCAGTTTCAAAATAACCCACAAAGCTTAGCAAATGTATTTATAAATCATTCTTTACGTCCAAATTGCGGGGTTTTTGCAGTGTTATGTCTTGTTTGTGGCAGTATAAAAAATAGAAGTGAGCCAAAAATATGTATAATTAGTGAATATTGTTTATGTGTATTTCTCTACATAAAGTGCTTGCTAGCCTCTACCCTGACCATTCAAAACTAGGCTGAAAACATATATTTTTAGCTGTGCATACAACTAATTCTATTTTTTACTATTTATTGCTTTTATCTCCCTTTTTTAAACTCCACTCCAAATGGTTTGTATATGTACTTCTTTTTTTATTTTGTATGCATTTCGATCTGTGTTTTTGAATTGCTCTTGTGAAGCACTTTGCCTTTTACATTGTGCTATATAGATAAAAGATTGATTGATTTTGTTGTGTGTTTCAGCCGCTGTGTTGAAATACGAGAACAACGTGATGAACATCCGTCAGTTTAATTGCTCTCCTCACCCGTACTGGCTCCCCAACTTCATGGACGTCTTCACCTGGTCTCTGCCCTTTGTCGGGGAGAAGGGTGAGCTCGCAATGCATCGTGGTTATCTATTTGCCTGGCCTGCCAGACACTCCTCCTTTCTGTTCAAAAGAAGAACCGTCTGGACACCTCTTCCTAGCCTATCATTTCACGATTTTACCCACATCGGTCCAATCACGCACCGAGAGGCGGGACTTCCTTTCACCTTTGAGTTGCTAATAACTCCTCGTATCTTTAAGTTTTTGTTACAAAATCGACAGCAGTCGTTTACATTTGCACTAGCTGACATGCCGCCATCCCTTGTTTTGTGTTTACTGAAACGGCTTGGGTGCCGCTAGTTGCTGCGTCATATCCTGTGTGCATCTAATTGGTTGATGCAGTCTGTCAACCACGCCCACCGGGAATTCGCTGAGATCAAGCTCGTTCCCAGACTATATGTCTTTGAAAAAGCATATCGTTTGGCAGGCCAGGCAAGTTATCTATGGTTTTGATTATTTCTTTGCTTTGTGATCTTAAAGTGTTTTCCTTTGAATGGCAGACACCGAGACAAAGAAAGTGAGAAGCTCAAACAGTGCATATTTTATAAAAGAGCGATAATCTCCGGAAGACCGTCGCACTTTCGCGTGATATATCTCAGGAACGGTGACACATAGAAACAAACGGGTTCCACGTCCAGACAGGTTAAAATCTTATGTTTCAAATGGGGTATGGCCGGGTTGCAAATGACGTCACACATCGGCTCAAAAGTCCTCAGAGGTACAGGAAGTAAATCTCCCCATTAAGAACCGTTTAAATAGATAGCTTGAGATAGATATATACTTTATTGGTCCCTTGCTCGCAATCATACAAACATACTAACATAGGATAGAGTTAAAAGATACAAAATTAAAAAAGACAATAAAATACATTCAAATCAGGAAATCTTCACCGGTTGGGAGTCAGAATGCTCTTTTTCTGGGGCATGTACCGTTGCTCGTATCTAGTGGAGAATTTTGGCTAAAATATATTTCGTTTACTGGTGTTGATTTTTAGGAAAAAGCAGGAAAAGGATTAGAAGAAATGCATTATCCGGTTTAGCATCTGCTGCCACAAACACAGCTGACAGTCTGCTATCTTCACTTTGCTGACGTTCAGAGAAAGAATGCAGTCTTTTTGTGTGGTATACGGTTGAGGTAACCAAAGCAACAGGGAGAAAGAACTGTTAAATATATTTTGAAATGCCAAAAGTCGTCTCAAACCAACCTGTTTGAGGCTTAGCAATCAAGTCTTCTAACATAGAATCTAGTTTTTATCAAGCCGTAAAAAGCTTCTGTGTGCAAATTTTCCTGCATCGCCCTGTCTAATTGGTCGGCACTAGATCATCGGAATCGGGACGAAAGTATATATCACCAACTACCTAAACTTATAGATCCATGCCTAAACTTAACCAGTCATTCCCATAGAATAACCCCAACACACCCTTAACCCTAACCATAACCATCTCACTCAGACACCTAAAACTTAACCACTTCCGGACGTATTCGTCTAAAACTAATTAGAAAGTAGGATTTTTACTTCTGCTTCCGTCCCGATTTCGTATATGACCTCGTACCAACCTAGCCTGGTCGTACCACACCAAAGTACACATTTCATACTAAGGTCTGGATTAGCTCCATTGAGCTCCGTTAACAGATGGGAGAGGTTAACTTCTTTTGCAGATTGAAACGATTGGATCTGAGTTTACCGTCACGTATGTAATGCGGCCAAGTGAGTCATTAGCATTTAGCATTTAGCCTAGCTTTAGTATCTCCTTTGCCGCTAACAGAGCATTTTTTGCCATTGCCAAACTACAACCTGCCCGTTCTGCGCAAACTCTTGATGTCACCCATAACTAACTACAACACCCGCCTCCCGTGCTCGCTGATTGGTCTTATGGAATTCAACCGATTGTAATCGCAAACACAGGGACCAGACCCAGACGTTACATGCAGGGAAATGATAATTGAGTGTACGGATGGCCAGGCTAGTACCGACCCTGCAGTGTTGCCAACTCCTCAGTAAGGAAAGTAGCTATTGGCTGTCCCAAAAGTCGCTAGAAGTCGCTAAATGACGTCATCGCCTAATTTGCATAATTGGCAATTTGCAAATAACTGTAACGGACGCTGTAGGAGAGAGGAATAACGTCGTGGGAGAGACAAAAGTGAGCAAAAAACACCCTAAATATGTTTAGAACTACAAATGTACAAAAATAATTTCAACATTAACAACATTTAATGATTTTAATGCTTTGTCTAGATCCACATTACACACATCAGTTTTGTCCTGTATTGTTAAATGTTATAACAGCAAATGTAATCAAAAGATTGTTATGTAAGTAAGTAAGTAATCTTTATTTATATACCGCCTTTTCACTGCAAATCTGAGTCTCAAAGCGGTTTACAATTGTTAATTTTTGGGCATTTGTCTCTCACTCCACACAGAGATGGGAGGGGCCAGTACATGAGGCGCATGCCAGACCTATTGTACATATTTTTAGTGGTAGGGGAAACCGGAGTACCCGGAGGAAACCTACGCAGACACGGGGAGAACATGCAAACTCCACTCAGAAAGGCCCTGGCCCGACCGGGATTCGAACCCAGGACCTTCTTGCTGAGAGGCGAGAGTGCTATCCACTCTGCCACCGTGCCACCCATGTAGGGTGAAATTGCTAGCTCTACAACCAACCCTCCTCCTTTATCCGGGCTTGGGACCGGCAAAGTGACCCAAAAGACACACTCTGGCAGAGTTACTTAGGGTTTTTTTTATTAAAGTTTTTTTTGTTTTTTCATAGTTTTTTTCATTTTTTTTTTTGTGGGGTGGTTTGTTTAGTTTTCGTTTATAACTTAATACTACAGCTGGGACTGCTGCGCAAGGCTACTGTGAGACTGGCCGCCTGTAAGTGCTTTGGGACGGGGGAGGGGCTCACGTTGAGGACAGTCTCCAAAACACCAGATAAGTCTCCAATAACACCAGAAAAAGTCGCTAGATTTGTCGCTAGTCGCTTTTTTGAAAAAAAGTCGCTATAGGGGTCTGAAAAGTTACTAAATCTAGCGACAAAGTCGCTAAGTTGGCAACACTGCGACCCTGTCTAATTGATAGGAGATATTTACTTCCTGTCCCACGGCCCTCTGCCACGCCCCCTTTGGACCATGTGATTGCAACCCAGAAATAGCAAGTGTATCTGTGGCTCTCCAAACATTGTCAAAAATGTTCTCCTTTGCAAACAGTCTAGTATTCAATGAGTTAAAAAATGCAATAAAAAAATGTTCACTATACTTAATTATGAAAAAGGTTAGATACCCCAGCTTTAGTTGTCTCTTTTGGATGATGCTCTGGACTTGTCTCATTGATCCAGTTCTGGCACCTGTGTAACTGTTTTTACTCTGTTCTGAATGCGACTGCTTCATGTTTGTCCGCAGTGACCGAGATGCTGGTGAACGTCCTCAGTATTTGCTCGGACGATGAGCTCGTGAACGACCCAGACGAGATTTATGACGGTAAATCAGCGGCGGAAGAAAGTACTTAAGTTTGGTATTTGAGTAGAAGAACAGCAACAACATGGATGCGCTAATCAGCAGCAAGTCATGTGGAACAATATCTGTACCTGCAGATACTTAAAGGGACTTCATTTCAATAGTTCAGGAAGATTCATCTTGTCTTCTTACTTTTATGACTTCATTTTAGTTCTTTTACACTTGTTCTTTTTCCACCACCGATACGAATAGCTCGTGCGTGGATTGCCAGGATTGACGTGTAATTCACTGTGTGTTATTTGCAGCCAGTGCAGCAGCCGCCAGGAAAGAGGTGATCAAAAACAAGATTCGAGCGATCGGGAAAATGGCCAAGATGTTCTCAGTCCTACGGTAAGTGTGAAAGCTCATTTCAGCATTCTTTAGTGCAGTAAAGTGCATTCACGCGCCACAGACATGACTGAATAAATCCTGTCTCAGCCTGTATCCTTAGATAAGATATTTTTGCGTACTACTAAGAAAGAGCCCTGTGAGTAACTTTTTGACACTTTGGGAGGAGAGCTGATTGGCTGAGCAACAGAAGTCCTCTCTTTTTCACTTTTCTGTCTGAAAAAACTGATCTAAAGATGTGAAGTCTAGTGATAGAGCCAAATGTTGTAGAGCCATGAACTAAATGTTTTTATTACATATTTCAATTGTTTTTTTTGTTTGAAAGTTGGGTACATCAGCTTGAAATGTGTGACTTTTGCAGGGTAACAGAATGGCTTTTATTAGCAAAAAAGGCTAAGTCTGTGTTATTATTTTCCTACATACTATAAGTGTCAAAATGGTCGAAAACAGGGAATCTAAAAACGTAAAACTGTAGACTTGAATATATTTGTACAATCTGTATTTCTCTCACAGGGAGGAGAGTGAGAACGTTCTGACCCTCAAAGGTCTAACTCCGACCGGGATGCTGCCCAGTGGAGTCCTGTCCGGAGGCAAACAGACGCTGCAGAGCGGTAAGTCCACAGTCCGAGACCTGATCCCGATTCTGATCCAGGGCGCCTTGAATATTTAACCTTGCAAACCCATTCATGGAGGCCTCACCATCACCTCACCCGCTGGACAGACTAACCTCAGCTACTAATGTATTGTTTTAGCGTGATTGTGAGCTAACACAGGCTAATGCTAACTCCAGCTAACCCCACCCTCATTGGACAAATTCCTGAAACATGCTTTTGAGGATGACCAGAGTTAGCTTATTTTCAGACAAAAATGGTAGCTCTAAACATCTAAATAAAAAAATATATGGTCTAGTTTAGTAGTCCTGCGTAGAAATGTAACAATGTCATTATTTTGCTGTTGCATCAGGATCCTAGAATGTGTCTGAAATAAAAGCACAAACATTTCTTCCATAACCCTTTAATGACAAGTAACCCTAACCCATTCTTGTGGGATGTTGATTATTGTGCACTCTCCCAGTCAAATAAACAAACAAGTACATACATGCAAACTAATGTGGTCCAAAGTTAAGATGGTGGCGCCCTCTGAAACTTCTCACATACAGTAGGTTGATGCTAGCCTCAGGTCTCAAAGACGGAGATCTATTTAAAAGTCAACGCCCTGTGCTCATTGGTGCATCCTCAAAGCTAGCCGCTCCCAAACATTAACAAAAAACTAGCATTCTGGCTAGTTCTGGTCCGCTCTCAACATGGGCAGTGGTGCTAGCTCCATGATGCTTTACTTGACAAAAGTGAGCGTTCTGATAGAGATTGATGCAGGTTAAGCTAGCGATACCCGATCCAGATATTATAATAGCTCCATGATGCAAACTAATACAATCAAAATCAACATGCTAGGGCCCACTGCAACTCCAGCTATAACATGACGAGTCTTATAAACTTGTTTCAAACAGCTGTAAGAATGTAAAATCCAACCAAATAAGATTGTCTAAAATTCCCCACACCTTGTCGAAACCATGTCCCTGTTGTGGATTACAGCAGGATCCACATGCTCCCTCTGTCTGATCCAAAAATGTGCAAAGCTTTCACTGTTATAGCTTGCGCCGTGTTCAATATTCCACACTGCCCCCTGGTGTTGTGACCCGAGAATGTTACAGAAGCATGTTTCAGCTCCGCTCCTCTCTCTCGTCCCATCTCTACCTCTTTCTCTCTCTTTCTTGCTTTCTCTTTCTATCGCTCTATCAATCTATATATCTACCCCCTTCTCTCCCTCTATCTCTCTCTGTCTCTCCATCCCTCAGCCACCATTGAGGCCATAGAAGCCATCGAGACAGTGAAGGACGATGAAGGTAACGTGTTGGCCACATTGAGCCCATAGACTTTTTGTTTTTCTCTCTTTCCCCACCACACGCCTCCCACATCGCTGACCACTCACACTCACGTCAGACATTACTCCTTCTCTTTTGTTGCCATTTATTTTGGACAGAAAAAAAAAAGATAGTTTTATTCGCTCTCCATTCACTCACACTGTAACTGACCATGACTCCACGCTGCCATTAAAGGTTAAAAGTTGAATATTTTAGCTCCTAAAGCAGAAAGCCGAGAACAAAGTGCAGTCGCTACTTTTGCTTTTAGCTCGGCGCGATTTAGACTGTATTTTTGATGCATTATGTATTTGTTCTGGTGGCATTTGTCTTAATAGAGTTGCAGATGTATCACTTCACACTGAATCTCTCAAATATGTGTTCTCATTGTTAACAATTTTAATGAATATGTGCTTTCTGTTAAAGCTGGGGTACCTGATTTAAATATCACAGAAATAGTCTGTTTGTAAAAGTGAGATGTGAGCAAATGAGACCACAACATGCTTTGGTTATTAGTGAACATCCCTGCTAGCCTGGCTCTGCCAGAGGCGTTTGGCTGAACCACATGGGTCTGGTATCGACGCCATGGCGAACGCCTTCCCCAGATTATTTTTTAATCGACCAATCAGGATGGCCGGTGTTACGTGGGGTTTGCACTGCCTTCTCAAGCTTCTCTCATGCAGCAGCGAGTGGAATCCAAAATGGCGGACGTAAAGTCCGCGAATCTTTTTAAAAGAGTAAATACGATCGAATTAAGACACGGATGTCACTTTTAATGCAATTTGAGGCGAGATGTTGATGGTTCTATTGTTGATATATGTGTGTTTTAAGCGTCAAATGTTCCTGTAAAGTTTGGTTGAAGCACTGGTTCAGTGTTCCTGTTTACACACTATGCAGCAGGGTTGCCAGGTTTGGTGGTTCCCGCATATTTTTTTCCAAGAGACTTGTAGGTATTAAATAAACAGAAAGACAATAAACAGAATCATGATAGCCCAAGTTGATTACATTACGTTTTTAGCCAAAAAATCATACTGAGTGTTTTTTTGTGTGGGTATTCTCGTTGATTTTGGTTTGGAAAATCTTGCTGGGATTTGGCAACCTATGGGAGCCGTGTGCTTCGATGTGAGTGGTTGAAAGCAGACTTCATTCAAGATAACGGACAAGTGGTCTTTCCAATCACATACAAGGATTTTTTTACAAGGCCCTGCCTTCTGAAATCCAACCACTATGGCTCAGTACCAGACTCATGTGTGAAGTGCAGCGAACTACATGGGTCTGGCGAGAGTCAGGCTACATCCCTGCCCTGTAAGTCACTATTTGACGCTTTGGGGGTGAGAGCTGATTGGCTTTTTTACTTTTTCCGTCTGAAGAAGTTGATCTAAAGTTGAGACCAAAAATACTTTAAAAAACTACTGATAGAAATGTTTCAGAGCCAGAAACTAGTTGCATGGATTTTATTACATAGTTCAATTTGTTGTGGTCTGAAAGTTGGGTACCCGAGCTTTATTCAAATCAGTCTGATCTAATGGTCAAACCCTCTGTCTAAAAAAAGTTACATAATGCAGATTTAAATACGCACAGACCATATTTTTGGGCCAGTATCGTCCCATTAACAAAAGTAATGTGGACATAATGAGGACATGGCCCTTCCTCCTCTCGGTCATGTATTGAGAGGGTATAAATAATTTGCATGGGGTCATTAGTGGACAAGTTAAAGGCCCCCAAAAATATGAAAATTAGTTTGCTGCAGTTATTAGTTTTTTGCACAGTCTGGCAATTAAAAGAAAAATCACTCCAATGAGTTTATGAGCACGGTTTTACATATGTCATTTTAGAAAACAATTTTTTATTACATTGAAAAAGATAGAGGACCTTTTTCAGTTCATATGTGATTGACAGTAGTAACCACATATTAACACACACACATATTCACACACAACCATACACACACACATACATATACATACACACACACACACACACACACACATTTGACCAGAGTTTCCCCGCAGTAGTGGACCCTCCAGTCTCGTAGACCCAGTGTCAGTCTGTTCAACCATGCACCAATCTGTCTCCGCACCTACGGCAGCCCGCCTGGCTCAAAAATACCACCTTAAAGACCCAGAGGAGGCTGCTCTGTGCACATACAGATTCTGTCCATGGTCTCTGTGCGTCCAAGTTTCGGTGTCTCCTCTTCTGTAGTCTCCTGTCTGTCGCTTCCATCCGGCAAATGCCATAATTTGTTCATGAAAATAAATTATGGTTGAACTTTTGGCTTTATATTGTGGTATAACGTGTTTGTATCTGGTTCAGACCATTGTGGCACCAACACAGTGGCATTTGTGGCATGTGTTTAAGGGAAAGGAGGATTAAACTGAGTCTGATGATTACAACGTTGGAAGTAATTTTAACATTTTTCTTTTAAAAATGGGAAACATATCTGTCAAACTATATCTTGATTGATAAAGGGGCTGAAAGATAAAACACAAAACCTTTCAAATCTGGTTTTTTCATGGCTACTATTTGGTTTGGTCTGGATCCCGCAAAGTTACTAGAGATAATGTCACTTCTGGTAAAGATCCAGGGAAAAACACAAGGCTTGTTAGAATCAGAATCAGAATCATTTTTATTGCCACGTAAGTAACAGGAGGTCACAGACTTGGAAATTGCTTTGGCTCAGTGCAACAGTCAGAAAGAGATAATAAAAATAAGAATAAAAAACACTTCTAAAGAATACATTTAAACTTAAAATAGAGTTACAGTTACTATTTACAATATACAAGTGCACATGGTGCACACAATGTAAGGTGACAGCAGTACAGTGAAGTAAAGTGACGTATGATGGGCAGTAAAGTGACTTTATAAAGGGCGGGGGGACAGGTTAAGAAGAGTCCAACAGCAGAGGGGAAGAAACTGTTCTTGTGGCGGGAGGTTCTAGTCCTGATGGACCGCAGTCTCCTGCCTGAGGGGAGTGGTTGGAATAGTCCATGTGCAGGGTGAGAGGGGTCGGCTGTGATACGACCAGCCCGGCCTCGAGCTCGGGCGACGTTATTAAGTGAGTGATGTGATTCTTATGACAAAACAGCCAACAATTTGAATATTATCTTAAAATATCTGAATATATGGTTTTTAGTACTCAAGTGTTTTGAGTTGAAATCATTAATTATGAACAAACTTTGCAAACTAATCGATAAACCAGGGAAGTCCGTGGTCCACTGCAGGTCAACTACTTTGAGATTTTCGACCAGTCACAAGATTCAATATTGTGTTTTTGGTGTGTTTAGTCCACTGGGGTCCTATTTTTTAAAGATTTTGACCTATGAAAAGATAACACAACTTAGAAATTAGAGAAAAAAACGGACCATTTAGCAAGTTAGAAGTTTGGCAGATGAAGCAAAGTGTGATGAAGAAAAGTTAGTTCAAAAAATCTAAAGCTTTGTGAATGACTGCTGGTATTTTTCAGCCCTGTGTTTTCTCTTGATTGAAAATGATCATGTTTGACAAATATGTTTGGACGTTACACTACAGGTGAATCATTCTGAGGTAACTGTATTCGCTTCTTTGTGCGTTGTAAAAAAATACTGTCCTTGTACTGTCCATGCATTTCAGCTTCATTAAGCAGATTGCAAATTATTCGGCACAATTTGCTGAAAAATATGAAAGCAATCTTGTAGTAGATTACAATGCGGCAACAAAAATCCTCAACCAGATCAACAAACAGATTTGTGCAATGTTTTTTTTCTCCGTAAAAAAGGGTAACAGCTTCCCATTATGAGAAGCATTTGACAAACAGCGCTGCTTAGTGAAGCTTTAATCGCACTTCCACATTTCGCTCAAATGCGAATTGGGAAATTTCAGTTTCTTCATGAACATTCCCTCCAGCTCTTGGAAGGTTTGGAAACACACACTGAGTACGTTTACAAAGCATGAGAAAACAGAGTATGCAAAACAAAACGGACTCTATTCGGCGTTATTACCAAACCGGTTTTACCACTCGACATATTCCCTGATTAGATGGAGCCTTGTGATGCTTTCAAAGACACCTCGTAACTTTGACTTAGCACTTCAACATTGGAACAGTAATTGAAAATACATTTGTTATCAGATTTACTGTAGAGCCACACTTATGGCAAATGTAAACATGCAACTTTGAGCTTTGATTTTGCCACATGCTCAACTCCAAGTATTTTTTTATGCACTGTATTACGTTGGTAACTTTGAGAATTATGACTTTAGTTCAATAAAAGATCTATGTATCTATATATTTGATTTCCGCAGCACATTTAAACACACCATATTGCCTCTCTCAATGATCAAACTTAGAGAGTAGACAATATGCATCCAAATACATACGTTTATAATATATTTCCCTGTACTCGTAAATGCATCTTACGGCCGTGTCTCAGTAGGATCCAGTTTGACCCAATCACGCCTAACAAACTGGTTTTCCACACCTTAAGCCTCCTGCTCATTCAAATTAAATTGGACTTGGCGAGTGTAGCCGTTTTTTGTCGAGGCTTTGTAAACATACTCACTCGCACTTGTCATCTAAGTGGATACTAACTCTTCCCGTTGGTTTTTTGTGCTCTTCCGCAGCGATCCGAGGCTTCTCCCCGCAGCACCGGATCAGCAGCTTCGAGGAGGCGAAGGGTTTGGACCGAATCAACGAGCGGATGCCCCCCCGACGGGACGCGGTCAACTCAGTGGGGTTATCCATGGGCAGAATGAACATGGGAGAGCCCAACGGAACAGACAACAACAGCAATATATGAGACAACAAAACACACACAGACGCACACGCACGCCCCGTATACAGTGTACATAGGCATATAACACAATCAAACACTACTAATAGGCAACACTCGAGAATATTGCCCTCCCCCCATTGATAAAGGTGGACCAATCTCTACGGGCTGCGCTAACGGACTACAACTAACCCAGGGAGGACTACAACTCCCATGGGACGACAGCAGCAGCAGAGGGCTAGCTCGAATAAGAAGCCGTGTGCTGGTGGGGGTCTGCACGAGTCCCCAAAAAACGGACAAAAAGTGGATTGTTTTGGGTTGTGGATCATTTCTGCCTGCGTGCGTGCAATGCTTAACAATGTAAATGTGTGTGCAGTTATACATATACATATTATATATATTTGGAAAATGTGTTTTTTTTTCTGTTGGAAGTTCTCGCCAGTGCGCGGGGAAAACAAGACAAGAATCTGAGCCGGTAGATTTATTATTATTATTATTATTATTATTACAACAGGAGGAAGATATGCTTTTGTTTTTGTAGCGGGACACTGGATCCACATAAGCGAGTGGACTCTATTGACTCCCTTCAGAAGAACCCTCTTAAAAACCTGGTTCAGACCGGTTTCAGATTGGTCTGAGTCAGCGCCGGTCCCAGGACAGACATGGTGAGGATTAGCATTAGCATAAGCAGTAATAGCAGTTACTGTCTTACTTTAAAAATATGCAAACTTTTTATTATCAAGGAAAACTAATTAATTGTGTCGTTAAGACGCAGGATTTTCACATCTGAACGGTAGTTTTGAGATGTTTTTGAACGTTTTATTTGTAGCAGTAGCAGCAGAAAGAAAGGTGCTAAGAATTCAAAGAAATTGGGAGGATGTATTTAGAAAGAGCAGTGGAGGATGTGTGAGTCTAAAGAACAAGTGGGTCATTGTTCATTCACACTCAAGGTCACGTGGGACAAGGACACATGGACTGAATGAACCATTGTGAGATGAGTTAAAAACATGAGAATAAGGACATATTTGAGATTATTTGACTTGTCCATCACCTGCCAGTGGAAGACTTATTTTATGTTTTTATTCCCTTTTTTTATTTTTATTTTTTTATCTCAAACATGCACAAAATACGAAAAAAATATTCACAGAAAAAATGATAATATGAGAAAACTAGAAAACCTGTGCATAGTTTGAAAAGTGTTTGGCCGAAGCAAAAAGCGTATACTAATTCAATCCATCCATGTTCTGCCGCTTTATCCGTTGCCGTGTCGCGAAGGCAGCAGCCACCTTAAGACGCCCAGACTTCCATCTGCGGTGAGAGCATAGACTGTACATAGATGGACAATGCTAAACCCCCAATTTCAGTGAAGTCCAATAGGAAAGTGCTCATGGACAAAGTTTAGCTCCAAATCGCTCACTCACTGTGATTGCTCCAACAATCAAACCTTTCACAAAATTTTACAGAAAACCAAAGTATCTTTTAAGTACGAATTTCATATATAGCGGTAATCAATGTGCATGTAGCGAATTAGGGAATTTTACTTCCGGAACATGTCAATCCAACCACATATGTCTGTGTCCGGTCTAATCCGAGGAGAGGACACACATTTACATTATAAACATGTTCTTTCTCCCATTTTATAAACAGAAATTCTCAGACTAGGAAAAAAGACGAGCAGATGAATTTACTTAAAGGAGACATATGATGCAAAAAACAGGAGTTGTTTTTAGCTCCGCCCATGCTAATATTAGAAACTTATGACGTCATTGTACCACTATGACATCACATAAAACACAAGTATTGCTCCTGAATACGTTTTGGCAATATCTCGAATGAAATGACGTTCTTTACAATCGCATGGCTGTGTTTGCAACCAGTGATTTTCTAATTTGAAACAAAAAAATAGATATGAAATCACCTCCTCCTTCTGGTGGTAGCATATTAGTAGCATATTTTGACATTTATTTGAAGATATTATTCCTACACCAAGGCAACACAAAGCGCCCCACAACCCAAATCACATCATAAATATTAAAAACAATGAAGTAAAAATACAAATTAAAACAATCATTAAGATCATGAGAAAGTTCACATTCACAGGAAATGGTAAAGTAAAAAGTGCCATTACCATTTTTTTAACTAAAAACAATGCATAATGTTTTCTTCATCCAGAAAGGTCCAGTGTCTTCTATCCTCAGTCTCCAGCTTACGGCTGGACTCACCTGAGGAAACGGGTGGAGTCTGGTGTGCTCCTGCTTAGTTGGAATGAAAACCTGCAGCCACACTGGCCCTTTCGAGGACCGCTTTGACAAACCCGGTCTAATCGCAATACGCAATTTTGAACTCATCTCAAAGCAGTTGTGCTAATCAAAGGGCGAACGCTTTAACCACCGTGCCAGAGCTGAAAACATATACGGTAGATTTCACCAAAACCTCAAACTCCTCAGCTCCGTCCGCATCTGTCTGTCCTGGGATCAGCCGAGTCCGTCCAAGTGCGAGTGTAAATATAGCGACTTTCTTGCACATTACCGAATATGCAGTAAGTGAACGCGCCATTCCACCGCATCCCACTAGGCGGCGCTGTCCACTCACACAACAACGACGACGACGGCTGGGAATCCTCTCTATAGTTTTAGGCCCGGTGGTACGTAGGGTTTTACAGTGTGCGAGAACGCAAAAAACGGTCAGTGCATGCGCGAGTGGAGTTCTTTGATAAAAAAAACGTGACGATTTTTTTGGTTCTGTTTGTTGACGATGTTCTGCGTGTTTCACTATTATGATCGTAAGGGTTTTTTCTCTCGTTTGGCTCGATATGAAGCAACTCTCTTATTTATTTTGTACATAACGTTTGATTATTTTATTTTTTTGAATTCACTTTGTGTTACTTCGATCACTGGACGCTGTATAGACTTTACTGTCTTGACTCTTCTTCACTGTCTACCACTTTGTACATGAATTGTTTTGAAAAGAAATATGAATAATATGGATAAAATATAAATATATATATATATATACGCTAAATATCTTAACGAATGAACATATTATATTGTCAGCGGCAGAGGGAAGGCAGCCATAAGCATGATTTGCATGGTTAAAAACTTGAAAGCTGCAAGATCCTGGTTCGGTTGCCTCGTTTATTGACAGTTCCTCTTGTTACCATGAAGATATTAATATATTTATGATATTATGAACGTTTTCTCGATATCTTAAGCCAGTAACTCTTTCTCTCTCTCTCTCTCTCTTTTGGGTTCTTTGTGCTTCTTTGAGAGACCCTCCTCAAAGCCCTGTGCCATAGACAATGTGCCACGATTTTTCATTTCTTTAGAATATTAATTTCATTTCATTTTTTCTCTTGTTTTGATTTTTGATTTTTTTTGTTTTCGTTCTCCTTGCTGTTTTTCCGTTCGGTTCCCAGTCACTAACACTGTACGCATGCCCCACGGGACGACCCACTTTTTTACTCTTGAATAAAATATGCATGAAGCTTTGGTATGGATGTCAAACCTTTCTTTCTAAGGATTGTCGGTTTGTTTCAATTCAGTTTACTTTTGTATCGCACTAAATCACAACAGTAGTTATCTCAGAAGACACAGGAAATACAACCATTAAAAACACATAGAGACATTAGTCCGTAAAGGGAAGAGGACCATAATTGTTAAAAGATGTCCTTAAATGTCCTGGATCATCATCACTGTCCTAGATCCTCCTGTGTCGGCAAATAACTACTCAAAAAACCCAATGTGAAAAAGTGAGAAACTTCAGGTTGAGATAAGATAAAATTATTGATCTCACAATGGAGAAATGTACATGTCACATTTTGAATAGATAGAATCACTCAGGTTGTGCAAACAGACTCGAAGGTTTTGAGCAAGATATATTACGCGCAATACAAAAATATAAATGACTACAGGCACAGAGAGGGACACTTTAAACCACAGGCCTCAGTGTTGTCCAGGCACTAAAACTATAGAAATGGTCGCCATCTGCTGGCCGTGTGGAGAAGGAATATGAGCGCTTTTTCTCTGTTTGACTTTTCAAAACCAACTGTTGAATGTCGCCTTAAGCTTTCGTTTCGTTTCATTTAAACGTCTATGCATGTTTGTGTTCGAAAATATTAGACTAAGTACTTTATTGATCCCCCCAGCCTGCGAAGCTGTATAGTATTGCGCAAGTAGCATATTGATTATATTTGGAAAAACAACTGTATTTTAAAACATTGAAAACTGATGTGGGACGGATGACTGATCAGATGAGTAATGACCACAGAGATAGATAGATAAAAGTATACACATTGTCAATTGAATAATCGTGGGTAGTTAGCAAGTAGCAAGTTAGCCGTCGCCGTGTCTCCATCATGGATCTAAAAGGTCTTCACACTCTTGGATTTTGTTAAATGCGGAACTTTACTTTGGGAAACGGAAAGCTCTGCCCACTTGAAACTTGGAAGACCTGCTTCTTGTTTCCATGGGAACGAGGCTAATTTGGTTGTTCTGCGTTCCGACAAATGCCATCCAAATCAGCAGGTAGTAAATAACCTTTATACAAATCTTTATGCAAGTAATCTTCATAAAACTAGTCCATCTCCTTGGAACTTAACACAAATGATGCACCATCTACAAAACGACATAAACAAACACAGATACATTCACACCTGGACTCCCGCAATTATTCAACGTACTAGAACTTCCATCATCTGCCATCTTGTTTACTGCTCTCATTAAAAACCAATGGATTCTAAGAAATTCTCCCCAACATTTTTAGCCACCCACGAGATTGAGGTTGTTGTTATCTTTTCTCACTTTTAATCAGTGCAAAGACAGATGAATATAACTTGAAATACAGCAAGAACAGTTTGGTGAAAGGCTAATGCTAAAGGCTAAATGCTAACCCGCTGACAGGAAACAGTGTTACTATGGTTACTAGCACTTGCTCTTCTCTAAATCTTTAACAGGGAAAATTATTTAGGCCCAAGTCACAGTAACCTTATGTGTTAGACTTAAGGTTTAGGGAGTGGATGTTTTTCAGAC